CCTTAGACACTCTTCAAACCTGGAACAGAACCCATTCCCGGAGATCACCTTTCAGCCAAACAAACAAGCCTATAACATGAACAATAACAATCATGAGGAATGTACTCCTCAGAACAATGAACCATACAAGACCAAAAGGGCAGCATTTGTCCAAACACAAAGTTCAGAAGGCAGAAGAGGCAGGAAAAACGGGTGAATTGAAATGGGGAACCCAGAAAGGAAAGGGGGGTAGAGTGCTGTCACATTGAGGGAACTGCAACTAATGTCATGAAATAAAATGTACATAAATTGTTAAATGGAAAACTAATTTCCTATTAACTTTCACCCAAACCACAATAAATTGTTCAAAAAGCAAAACAAAAAACTCAGTACAAATTTTATTTATTTTCTAAATAGGTGATGCATGTGATACAAATGTACCAAAGTGAAGAGTAAGTCACCCTCCCATTGTGACCCCAGCTACCTGGCTCCCTTCCGCAGTTCCCAGTTCCAGTTTCTTATGTATCCTATTGGAGACAGACTATGCACATTCAAGCAAATATTTCTATTTTAAAAATACCCACAGGGTAAGATATTATATATACTGTTCTGTACTTCTACACATTATTTTACTGTATACCAATGCTTTAAAATTATTTGGTCAAGATTGCTAAAATAAACAACGTTCCCTCATTTCATTGAAGAAATTTCACTTGCTAAGTTAGTGATAATCTGCCATTATGTCTGAAATGTAAAGAAAGTATCATACTAGTGAAACTTCCATAAACTTAGCAAAAGAAAATGCTAAATCCTACAGTGAATAATGGATTGGGCACTATCTAAATTATACAGATAGTGAAATGGAAATATGCCCAAGTAGTTTTATAACTGATTTCAGGTTAAAGACACTGGTGAAAATAAAAACCCTTAGAGCCACCAACCACTTGGTGTTCTGCGTCCCACTATCAGTAGCTTTATATATACATTAAATGCTCATGAGTACCACTATTACTAGTTCTGCATGGCAAGGCTAGAGGCCTAAGAGGTTATCTAGACAGGAGTGAGACATCCCTATGCCTTTGTACTGCCAGGACCTCAATCTTCCAACTGGATTTCTGCCACTCACAGTTACCACTGCTCCTTGGCCCTCAACTTCAGTCAGGCATCAGGACCACCCACTGGAAACATTATTCTTCTTTTCTGCCTCAGCCTTTTCCAGGCGAGATGGTTTCTAATCTCTTTTGTGGCAGATTTTATTTTTCAACTTAAGAATCTTTATGGGTGGTGTGGAAACTTCCCAGTGCTAGACATAGGAAACTATGTTTTAAGTTTTTACTCTTCCTTCCCTTAACCAACTATTTGAAAGAGAACAACTATTTGAAAGAGAGCAAGTCAATTAATTTTTCTGAGAGTCCCAGTTTCCTCAACTGTAAAATTAAGAATGTTAGATTAGCTGGTGTCAGGCCTCCTAAAGATGTTACAGAGGAAAAGTAATATTTTTCTTCTAGAGTCTCCTTTTAGGAAAAAGGAGGTAAAGTGCAAGAAAATAAGCTGACATTAGAACTCCTTTATGCGACTGCCAGATTGCTCAAGGGTCAGAGTCCAGCCCAATCCTCTAAATGACAGCTCTCTGCAAGAACTGAGGTTTTAAATTATTACCTTAAGAGACTACAGGATCTTAAATTATTGATGAAAATTTAATCATTTTCTCTATGCTCTAAGTCATAATGCAGAGAAAGTGTCCTGATACATTTTACAGAACTAAAAGGATACTCTTGTTAGCAGACAATTCAATTAGCTGGAACCAGCACTGTGGTAGAGCTTTTAGTGCTAAAGAAGCACTTGAGAGCTATCATTAATGCAGGCATACACATACCAAACACTAATACTAACTGCTTTACAAGCATTTTCCTATTTAATTCTCACAACAATTTCTACGAGGAAACTGAGGCTTAAGAAAGACTGGCAAGTGATGGAGCAGGAATCTCGACCATAAAACCGACTAGAAACAGTCAATCTGAGCAACAAATCCTTGATACCTCTATCAACAACTATACCTGTTTATACACACATACAAACTCACACCAAAATGTTTTTCTTCAAGTAACATTTTTTGTAAGTTAAAAGAATCAAGCTAACAATTTAGAAAAGACAATTCTTAGCCTCAGTTAATCTAAAATTTCATTAAAAGCAAAAACATACAAAAACTTCCTAAACAATTGTTCCATTAATTGTCAAATACTTATTCTTCAAATATAATGTAGCTGAAGAGCACTTTTTAAAAACTATTCTTACATTCATTTAAAAACATGTTAACCTACTCCAGAAAGACTGGCCAACCTGCATGCAGTTCTCTAACACGGCAAGCTCTCTGACTCCTTCATGGCCCTGCACACACTGTTCCTTCTAACTGGAATGCTTTCCCCAACTTGTTCAGCTGGCAAGCTCACAGACCTTCTTCACATCCCTGCAAGTGTATTTTCCGTTAACCCCCCAAGCAGAGGCAGACTTAAGTGCTCCTTCACCTACACTGCCACTGTCCTCCTTTTAAGCCTCCATTATGTACAGTTTCTGCTGAAGTAGACTGCAATCATTTGTTTATACATCCACCTTCTGTTAAGACTGAAAGCTGCTGAAAGACAGAAACCATACATTTTCATCTATATGTTTCCCAACCCTTAATACAGAATCTAGCACAACACGGTTGGGGTTCATTATTTACTTACTTAACACAAACCAATGAATTATAAACACTTAAAATATGTTCAGAGACCATTAACATATATTATCTACTTTAACTAACCTATAGGTTATCCTCTAACTTGTTTTCAGAAAGGAAGGATAGAAGCAGCTTTTTGAAGATCACCATTTGACCACTTAACATAATGCGTAAAACACTATGGTGTGTAATGTAGGGGACACAAAAATCAGAGGCCCCATCTCACTGGGGTTTTCAAAAAGGAGGACAGACATGTTCATATTGTTTCAATATACTCTTCAATAAGAACAATAACAGAAAAAATAAGAAGTGCTCTAGAGACTACAAAGTAGAAGGGTTAATTATGATTAAGGAGACTAGAGAAGGGCTTGACAGATTAACACCGAAGCCAGGCTTTGATGAATGAGTAGAAAAATGCATTCTAGGTCAGGGCACAAACACAACGAGCAAAAAGGCTCAGAAGTGTTAAGATACCAAATGAACGTTTATCATACATTTAAAAACTCCCCACTATTGTAGATACAGGCATTCTGAAAGAAAATGGGATGGGAAATCTGATCACAAGAATTGTAATAGCTTCAAAGAAAATAAATATATGGCATATATCCCTCCTGTCTTCTTCTCCTAGCTAAAAGTATTCTTGCGGACATCCTCAGCTACCTCAGCTACTATGCTACATGTCAGCCTACAGATAAATTAACTTACTGACAAAGGGATCTAACAGTCATTAAAAGATACTCAATTTTCTTTCATGCACTAACCATTAAATAGGTTTAATTTTTTCATTTATTAAAAAAAAGTATCATAACAAAAGAAAAACCCCATCAATAACAATACCTGACAGCTACTCAGTGCTTACTCCTGTGCACATACTCTAGTACTTGCATATGCATTTACTCATTTAATCCTCAGAGTAACCCAATGAGGTAACATTATTATTATCCCTCGTTTATAGACGAAGAAACTCAGGCAAATGAAATAAGCTGCCTAAGGTGACAAAGTGACACAGCCAGAGTCAGACCCAGCAGTCTGACTCCAGAGTCTGGGCTCTTAACTGCTGTCTTTGTCCACACACACATAGATTTTTATATTAATTTAAATGAGAATATACATATGAATTTGTGCTTAAAACTTTTATGTTCTATATAACATTGATTTTTAATTACTGAAAATTATTCTATTTAGTTGATATACTATAAATATATTTTGATTCCATGTCTTTTGATTGTTAAAAACAAATTATGTGCTAACTTTTTTCTATATCCTCCTGTGTGAAATATTCATGTTGATATTAAGTTTATAAACTTGAAGCACATGATAGATATTAACATTTGACAATATTCTTTTTTTAATACATTAGTTGTTACCTTGATCATTTTTGTTTTATTTGCATATCTTTTTACAGAATTTGCATTTCTAAACAGGTATAGATATACTTTAAATATTAATTTTTATAATAAGCAGGTACACTTGTATGTAGAAAAAAGTAAACATCCATGTCAATTAAAAGATATCAAATTTAAAAACTGGGCAAGACTAAACTTCAGTGTCTAAGACTGAACTCGTGGGTAATTACAAAAAACACAAGGAAGTGATTACGATAAGAACAGGAATAATGATTAGTTTTGAAGGGAGGGAGAGGACTGTGATTAGACATACACATGGAGGGGCTTCTGAGATGACTGTCAAAGTTTTATTTTTTGATCTGGATGGTATTTATAAGTGTTAGCCTTATAATAGTTCATTAAGCTATGTATTTCTATTACATACAAGATTTCTGCATCTGTATTTACTTACAATAAACAGGTTAAAAAAAGAAAAAGTCTACGTTAATTCCATTCTTTGAGTAGTTCAAAAAATACTAAATTTTCTTCTAGTCAACAGAATACACAAATGACCGAAAATTATACTTTTACAAAATCAAGACAAATATTCACAGGAAAAAATGGAAAGTAATATTACTCCCAAAGAGTTTGAATAATGTTCAGAAAATACGTATTCCATGTTAACAAAAGGTAATTTTTACAAACATGAAACAAAGAGGTAAAATACCAGATCAATGAGTTTAGAGGAAAATATAACTTGTTATACAGTAAATTATTTTTACAAGGACAAATAAATGAAGACTTCTTGTACAATTTTAAAATTAGAGTAAATTTCTTTATAACAAGTACATTTAATTAAACACAAAATCAGAGAACATGGCTTTTTAAAAATAAAGACAAAATTACAGTAAATTATTTTAAAACGTTATGCACAAACATCACAAACATAGCCTGAGAGTTTGGGGGAAAGTACTAACCAGTTACTGCCAGCAGCTGTGAAACTCTCACCTCCATTTCCTCCCGATGAGACCTGTCTCTATCTTCAAATTCACGTGTCCTTCTCCGAGCCTCTTCAAAGGCCTGTTGTGCTAATGCATCCTCCTGCTGTCAGAAGAATACATGAAACACAGATCTTAATTTTGATTTACAGTAAGTATTTCAGATTTGGGAATGTTTCATTTTTTGAAGGAAACAAGCAGCTGAGTATTTCCCAAAATATCAACACCATAAAAAGATTATCATCAGAGCTACTTTTAAAAGAAAAATCCAATGTTTTCGTATCTTGTATTACACCTTGGAAATAGTAATTGTGCCCGATTATATTCTAACATTTAAAATGCTCTCTCCTTTTCTTTCCTAAATGTTGTTGTGTGCCATCCAGTTGATTCCAACTCATAGTGACCCTATAAGACAGAGTAGAACTGCGCCATATGGTTTCCTAGACTGAAATCTTCACAGGAGCAGATCGCCAGGTCTTTTCTCTCACAGAGCAACTGGTGAATCTGCACCACCAACTTTTGATTAGCAGCCGATCCGAGTCGAGTACTTAATCACTGCGCCACCAGGACTCCTTTCCTAAACATTACATGGATAAAATACAATTATTCTATTGACTTGTAGTTCTTTCTTTATTTGATGTTTTAAAAACTATGCTTGTTTAACGTAGGTAACAGTACTGACGCACAACGGGGCAATTACTTAAAAAAAAAAAAAAAAAAACAGTTAGAACCTTACCTCTCATCCCTTTCGCCAAAATAAAATCCTCATCAAGTCAATATTTAAACCACAAAAGCACAAGAAAAAAAAATTAGTAAGTACTTCTATAATTTGGGATAAGAACTAAACCAAAAAACAAAACCCACTGCTGTCAGGATTAAGAAAGGCCCTCCCTAATCATGACACTAAAGCCAGAAACATAAAAAAGAAGATGAACAGCAATTGACTAAACAAATGCTAAAAACTTCTAAACAAACAGAAAAACCCCAAGGAAAATTATCAAGAAAAAAACATTTGTAACATATAACAGATCTATCCTAGTCCTTTCCCAGCTAATGGATAACTATCTAATATGAAGAAAACTAGATACCTTGAACTTAATGCGTCTAAAAAAAAAACCCCGCAACTTGCCAATTTATTCTTAAATTTTCTCCTCTACTCTTCTTTAGTCTCAGTTGGTGGCACCACTGGTTGCTATCTGGGCCATTTTGACTCTTCATTCTTCTGCTGTCTCCACAAAGCCAACAAACCACCAAGTCCTACCCATCTGACCTCCTAAATATTTTTGGAATCTTCAGTCTCCTTCATTCCTACATGCATTTTTCCTAGTTCAGACCCCTAACATCTCTTCTTACCTTGATTACTGCAAAGGTCTTCCATTCTGTCACCCTTCAATCAACCACACAAGCATTAGAGCACTCTTTCTAAAGCACAGTTGACCACCCTGCCCCCAACTAAAAACAGCTCCCTCACTGCCTACAGCACAGGATCCTCAATCTTTGTAGTCACACACTTCTGAATACTGGGATTTTTGATGATACACTTGAAGAAACTATAAGATCCAAAACAATATTAAAAAAACTCATCAAAACTCATGTTCCATAATAACAACCAAAAAATATGTATATGGTTACGTAAGTAGATATGTATGCTTATATATGTATAGATAAACACATATGAATATACAGGTACACATGTATAGGTGTTTCTGTAGGCAAACATATATGTGTTTGTATGTGCCGCATATATATTCATATATAAAATAAAGCACATAGGGAGCACAGTTATGGATACTTCTTGACATAACCAAACACCTCACAGGATTGGGTTACTGGGTTTGAGAGCATAGGACCATAGTCTCAGGGGGCAACTTGGTCAATTGGCATAACATAGCTCATAAAGATAATGTTCTACATCTTAATGAGTAATGTCTGGGGTCTTAAAAGCTTGCGAGTGGCCATCTAAGATACAACTATTGGTCTCTATGTGTCTGGAGCAAAAGTGAAAGAAGGAAATCAAAGACTCAAAGAAGAAACTAGTCTACAGGACTAACGGTCTGCACAAACCATAGCCTCACCTACTTTGAGACCAGAAGAACTAGATGATGCCCATCTACCACTACTGACCATTCTGACCAGAGACACAATAGACAGTCCTGGATAGAATGCGTAAAAAATGTAGAACAAAACTCAAACTCCTAAAAAAGGTCAGACTTACTGGACCAGTAGAGACTAGAGGAACCCCCGAGACTATTGCCCTGGGATACCCTTTAAACGTGAAACTCAAACCATTCCCAGAGGTCACCTATCAGCCAAAACACAGAGTGGCTAATAAAATAAATAATACCACCCATGAGTACTGTGCTCCTCTAAACACTCATAGATGACACCTAACGGTCAACATCTACCCTGAACCAAAGATGACAAGGTAAGGGGGGAGGGTCAAGGAAGCTAGATTAATGGAAACAGAAAAACCAGTATGGAAATATGAGAATGCTGACACATTGTGAAAAGTGTAACCAATGTCACTGAATAATACATATAGTGATTATTAAACAAGAACCTACCTTGCTATGTAAATTTTCTCCAAAATCACAATAAAATATTAAACAAAAACAAAACTCACCTTCCTAGATTCTCTGCAGCAAGAGACGGCTGTGTAACTGAGTTTTAGCCAGTGAGACAGAAGCATAAGTCACCTAGCAGAGTTTCCAAGAAAGTCGTTAAGGAGACCTTTAACCCTTCTCCTCCTTCCTGGCACTCTGATACAACGCGTGGAGATGCAATGATTCCTGATAATATAATTGAGCTACTATAACAGGCCTGGATTGTATACTGCTGGCTAGTTTGTTCTGTCTGATAAATCCTTATTTGTCACTGTTAGTAGGGTTTTTTAAATATTTCTAATTTTCACTGATAAAATGTCCATAACTTAAACAGAACTGAAAGACGTAATCAAATTCCCATTCTTATGACGCACTTACTAGTTTTATGACATAGTGCAAGTATTTCATTTCTCTAAGCCTCAGTGAATTCACATATAAAATGGGCATGGTACTAATACCTCACAAGACTGCTGTAAAGATTAAATGAGATAACATATAAAAAGTGCTTAAGCACACTACCTGACAGCACTGAATAAGTGCTACCTATTATTTTACAAGTATTTATGGATATATAAACTTTATACATTTGACTAAATATCATTACATATACCTACTCCATTCTCAGAATGCACTATATAAGCCAGAGCAAGTGGATGCTGTTCCCAAATCACAAGGGCTTTCTATTATTTAGTTAGGTATCAACTAGGGCACATTTGCTGACGACAGGATACTACTTCTATCCTGTACATTCATTTATTTTTTCATTTATTCCACAAATATTTACTGAGTCTTAATTATGGAGGACATCATGCATGGTAAAGCAGAAGGTCAATGAAAAAGAGCCAGACCCTCTATGAGATGCACTGACCCAGTGACTGCAACAATGGGCTCAAACATAGCCAACGATTGTGAGGATGGCACAGGACCGGGCAAGCGTTTCGTTCTGTTGTACATGGGGTTACTTTGAGTTGGAACTGACTTAATGGCACCTAACAACAATAATTATGTCTAAGAGTCTGTGCTAGGTGCCATGCTTTTCTTCACTGAGCTTCCAGTCCAGGGGGGCAGGTGAACAATGAAGAAATAATTACACAAATCAATATATAATCATAATCAATATATAATCATCAACTGTGATTAAGTGCAGTAGAAGAAAATTACAGGATGAAAAGAGAGCATATAAGAGATGTGACCTAACTCCCTAAGGAAGTTATTACCCATTAATATATACTCTAGTAATGGTCATGGATTTTTTCTTTTCCATTAAAAAAAGTAATATTATTAACAGTTGCAGTAAAGTAAGGCAGGAGAGATTTGGTAGCTCTCTACCTGTATTTTGTATTTCCAGCTTCTGTCTTGGTTTTTTCTAGTGGCAAGTGAGATGTATGTGCAGTGAACAGAGTTCTCACTTTAACACATGGTTAAATTTGAAAGACGATCGGTGAATACTAGGTGTTATCCTGATCGTTTCCTGTTGCAATGTGAGTAACACTTCCCTTTTCAAGGACAGTATAAAGGACACTTGCTGGTTAAACTAAATGCTCGCCCTTAAAGTATGCTCAAAAGGCTAGGGACAATGAACTCCTTCCAGTCTCAGGTGGAGGTCAGAGAAGTTTTCAACACTCTGATCCACACCAACCACCTGTTCCACTTGTCTTTTACTCCATGCTCCATATCACAGCCTGCACAAAGTAGCCAGGTGGGGTCATCACAAAACGTGGTCGTGTATATATGAAACCCACGTGGGAAACACTTAACAGTCCCATCATAGAGCAGACAGAGAACATTCTTAAAAATCTTGTAGTGATTTTTTTTTGTCTATTATACTGTCTAAATCTACAACTGTATATATTTTATGGTTTGATAATATTTATTTCACAACAAACCCTTTTTAAAGCAACAAATTTAAAAAATGGAAGTCCATGTATAATGAAAAATTAAGAATCGAATTTCTTTTCCAAGAAAGTTGATGATGACTGTATAATCTGCACAAAATATAGACATTTACCATTCTCTGTGGGGACCAGAATGGTATCACTTCACTGATCACATAAAAACCAAAAGAAAAAAATCTGCTAAAGCAGCATCAGCATCTACTTCAAAGACAATTTAACATGTGCAGCTGCAAACAGTATATTTAAGACATCACTCTGTAGAATATAACTTTTCATTTAAATCAAATGATTCTTCTAAATTAATTTCACTCACATTCTTGTGCACGTACAAAAAGTAAAGCTGTTTATATGCTGCCTTCAATAACACAAAAACCGTGTAACAGCTAAATGATGCCAGTTTTACATCAGTGTCATCAAGTACTTCAAACAAAAAATCTGTTAATTCCAATAACAGCCTGCAGAAATACAACAGATTTTTGGGTACTGGCACTGTATTATATTCAAAGACCTTGTTAAATTCATGTGTTAATTTTTCTAATACTTTGTAGATTCTTTTAGCCTTTCTAAGTACACATGTCTTCTGCAAATAAAGGCAGTTTTATGTCTTC